AAGACGAGACCGGAGATTTTTATGCCTCAGAAAAATCCCACCGACCTCGGCTGGAATTGAACTCATTGGGTTAAAAAAGCAGTAACGCTTACCACTACACCACCGGCGCCGGCTAAGCTCCAATAACCACTTCACTGTTTGACTCAATAGACTCAATGTCTGAAAGTCTCCTTAATAAAGATAAAAAAAAAAAAAAAAAAAAAAAAATGGACTCAATAGTAACAAATTGACAGCTCGCTCCCATACAAACTACGTTCGAGGGGCACTAAGATGGTGATTTTTGCTAAAGTAATCACTTTATTTTTATTTATTTTTGTTCCTTTGGTTTGTTTTTTCCGTCGATCTTGTTTTCCGTGCTCAGCACCAATGCTACCGACGTGCCAGGAAGGCAGCTCCCACACCTGGACCCTACCTATCGACCCATCAACTCATGAACCGGGGACCAACGGCTTTACTTCCCATCTGAAGGAAGGCGTGATCAGAGATGTTATGCCTCAGAACATCTCGGCGGCGCCGACTGGGATTGAACCCAGGCCTGCTGGGGTGTATCACATTTATTTAAAATAGTTCCAGTGCACCAAAGTTGATGAGATTTTGGATTTCGGTTCCATTTTCAATGCAGATTACAAATATGGGGCTGTTAATTAACTACGTAGACGGTTTTTTACGATTCTTGACCCCCCTTCCCCTGCGTAGACAATTGACCATACATTTTTTTGTATGGGCCGTGGATATTGTCAAACCCCCTCCCCCCCATAAACTGTCTACGTAGTTTATGAACAGCCCCTATGCATTACCCACAAAGAACCCAATTTAGATTTATTTAATTTCAAAAAGCTTTTCCTAATCAAAAAATTGGATTCCTTAGGGATATTGAGGAAATGCACATTTGTAATTTTGGAGCACTGGAACTATTTTAAATAAGTGATTACATTAGCAAAAATCACCACCTTAGCGCCCCTCGGTGGTGCTTGTACACTCAAAAATTTCATTTCATTTCATTTTCATTTTTATTTTCAAGCACAGAAGGGGGTCATAGGGCCAAGTCACCAGCGAAAAATCTCTGTCCATACTGCACCAGGGTAGAGGTATAGATTTGGCATCACAGAATAATAACCACAGGGGTTAAATGAATCCTGTTTACGATACCGGATAGTAAGGAAAGCTGTTGAACATAGGGGATAGTCAGAGTAACAGCAATAATAGTGAAAGTTAGGAAAAAAAGCAGGTACACACTAACTTTAGATTACTGGAGTCAGTAAAATTTTACTGGGTTTTTGAATTGCGGATCGCCCAGTAATCATCACAGAAATAATTTGCATTACCGAACTGTCCGTAAAGTCAATCTGTCAAAAATAACTGTTCATTCAGTAATTAGTTCGAGTTGCGTATACTGGAAAACCCAGTATTTCCTTTTTGTTTATTTTGCTGCATTTAACTGAGAAGACAGTTGTTTGGTTCATTATTATACCGTGTTACCCAGTTATATTAAAAGTAGTGAATGTGCAGTAATAAAAGCATGAATCCTGGTGCAATTCACCGCTTATAATATGCCAATTAATATGACGACTTAATGGACCCATCGGGGTGTTAGAAAGCAGTCACGCTTACCACTACACCACCGGCGCCGGCAATTCAAATTTTAAACTCGATTTTAACAAAACTGCGCGATTACACTTGCTCCCGGATTTTACTGAAGCTTAAATGGCGGCGGGAATAAAATTGACAGGTTAGAGTTTTACAATTCGTGGTCGGTAAAACAAGGTGGCTATGTTGCTGACCAGTCGGTAAAAAAATAAAGACTACTTTGTGCACAGTAATTATTTTTACTGACTTTTCGTGAAATCACGAAAATTTGGAAATTAACGACTTTCTCAGTAAATAAATATTCTGTGTACAGTATTTTGCATCAAACGATACCGAAGTTCAGTTTGTGTTTTACAGAACGTCGGTTATTCACCTGATTTAAACTGAACTTTCAGTAACTTTCATTTTACCGTGTAAGCCCAGTACAAAAAAATACCGAACATATAAATGCTGGATTAGTGTGTAGAGATGGTTGATTTGCAATGGCTATCGACTCTGTTATATGGCCTACCGTATCAGATTCAAATTTAATGTCGTTTAATATTGCGCTTATTACTTTTATCTTTATTCTAAGCAATCTCCTTTCATACTTGTTTGTTTTAAAGTGAACTGGATGAAATGATTGTTTTATCAAAATTATGTTAAAGTTAACTACTATTCATATTTGCTAATTAATACCTAAATGTAATTTTTAATTTTATGAAGATAAGTTGCTCAGAATAGCAGCCTGTAATTCCGTACCAGAATCCGCCTCCAATTTAATGTCTTTTGTGGATTCGTAGTAGCAAAGTTGTGCTAAAAGCTAAATAGTTACCTAAAAATACTACCTATATCGTTCACAATCAGAGCCGGGCCACTGATGAAAACCAAAACTACAACCCTGAAAAAACGAATCGATATTTTCGAAGGCGAACACAACCTATTCTTGCTAGTGATTCTGTCCAATTGTTAGGTATCCAAATTATAGTCATTCGTAAATTTATTATTGAATATATGGATGAATTATCTATTATTGAATAACTATTATTTACGATAATTACATGAAAGAAATAACATATAAACTACAAACAAAACGTGACTACTAAAATCTCAAAAAGATATTCTCACAAGTATATTTCACGCAACCAGGAATCTCAAAACCATTAGACGCTATAATGATACTCTGCACATGTTAGACACAAGAAAAGGCCAAAAAGCAAGCGTCCGACACACAAAACCCGCCAAATCCACCGGCAGTCACAATCAACGATTCTACGAATCGCGAGCGCTCACGAATCATAAAACCGCCGACTGCGACACTCTGAAAGCGAAATTGACAGGCCCTATGCGTCAAACACCCGCCCTCCAATCTCCTCCCGCATCCAACAACACAAACCCCCATTACAACATCTAATGAATTCAAAACTCCGAAAATCACTCATCTATAGCAAGTGAGTGGAAGCAACCCTGCATGCAACTATTCTTCATGATACGCTTTGTCTGTCTATCTTTCTATTAGGCCTGTGGACATGTGTTAGCTTCGAAACTTCTAACAAAACTAGGAAAATTTTGAAATCACAAAAAAAAAATCAAAGGTAATTACAAGCAAAATACATATTGATTATTTTACGCAAAACTGAGCAAGTAATATTAAATCTCTTGTATTGTATGCTAATGCTAATTGACTGTAACCAGGGATGGAAAATCATTTACATTCATTTCGTGCATTCATTTACATTCATTTGCCTCTAACTTTTTTCATCAACAGAATACCGTAAAATAATGTATGAAGCTTTTGTAGTTTTTGATATGAACTACAACTTTTTTTAATAACTAAAATCTGTATCTCTTATGCATGACGAAATAGAGCTGACAGAACATGTTATTGTTTTTCAGTGAATGCAATTAACATTCACTGAAAAACAAAGGTGGGTTCTTATCACTCTGATTCATCATGCATAAGAGATACAGATTTTAGTTATTGAAAAAAAATGTAGTTCATATCAAAAACTACAAAAGCTTCAAACACTATTTTATGGAATTCTGTTGATGAAAAAAGTTAGAGGCAAATGAATGTAAATGAATGTAAATGATTTTCCATCCCTGACTGTAACAAAAATAATATGCTTAAATAAAATAAAATATTAATAGAATGATATGCAAAATTTACTAGAAGGTCATTACTTTATTGGTGAGAAGTTTCTAATAAGCCCTCCCAGTTCCTCTGTATACAGAACAAATCTGATACTATAATCAGAATTGCTCAGTCTGCATGAAGCAGCCGATTGCATCAAGGAAGTTCTATTAACAACCAAGAATTAATCGTTTGAGGTATACTGAAGCATTAAGAAGGTGATATGTGTCACTATGGGAAATCATCATCGTTGCAAATATAAAGAAATTAAACATAACCCTTTGCTTCAGTACCGTCAACCTCCATGTCCATGGGGAGGGTATAACTAAACTAAACTAGGAAATATTAAAATTTAAACATTTTATGGTTAAGCAATGTTAATGCATTGATCGGCATAACATTTGATCCCATTACTATACTAAGCCGGAAAACGTTATTAAATTGCAACGTTGACAGGATGACGCTCGCAGTTGTTGGGTTAGTTTTTAAGATTACCATTCAGTTTTTCAGTTATAAGCCAGTTCCTTAATCAGATACTCAGGAACGCTGACATCACCGTGTATTTCTTGCAATATCCAGCCAGCCAGCCAGGAAATCGTTATTAAATTGCCTCCCTTTAAAGAACGACTTGAGTGCGGTACAATCGTTAGAACTGTTTTCACCTATCGTAGGTACATGAGCAAATCGGTGATCATCTCTTTTTGCCAGTGGTGGCGGGGGCTGGGGGAACACCCCTCACCATCCCTCTTCAACTAGGGAGTTTGGTAAAGAGAGATGATCAACCCGATTTGCACCTTCCTCAAAGTTGTTGACCTATCAACTCTAGACTTTCATCTCCTCATCTATCGTATAAAATGACCACAATTCGCTATAAGTCTGTTATTTGACGCTTAGCATCTTCAACTAAACAAATCATGTTGAGCTGTCAATAACTCGCGCTTGTTGACACAGCTACACTTTTGGAGCTACACCGCAAAAACGAAAACAACATTTGTGCCCGAAATGTTAATTCAAAATATGTAGTAGTGGAATCCAAAAAGCCTCCAAGCTTGAAGGAACCACGGTGCGTGCAATGTTTGTGAATATCTTTAATGCACGAATGTCCAAACATTTAGAGCTAGGACCAACCACACTCAACAATGGCTGGTAAGTACAAGAAACTCTGACATCCTTCTTCGCCTCATAACATTTTTTAGCGACACCCAACTAAATTGGATGATGTCATTCTTGCTGACGAGAAAAAAGAAAATCCATGCCGGTTGAATGGCAGTTCAAAAGCTAAACATCCCTGTCCACTTACCAATCGCAATGTCGATCACTTCCTCGTCAAAGTCCGTGTGACCCCGCAGCAGCGCCAGATAGTACTTTCGCGCCCGTTGCTCCTCAAACACCTGACAGACCTCCTTGCATGCATTCTTGTTCAGCGGTATGCACAGTATCCCACTGGTGGCAAAGTCCAACCGATGGGCAAAGTAGAAGTCGTGCGTCAAATTATCCTGTACGTACTCCGGGAACTGTTTCCTCATGATGGTTTGGACCGTTTTCTGGAATTGCAATTTTCAGTTAACTTTCGGTTCTTTGCTTCTGCTCATCTACATGTTGCTAGTTTACCTTTTTCGTATCATTCGAATTGATCAGCAGATCGTGCTTCTTGTTTATGACGAGAAAGTTCCCGCTGCTGTACAGCACGTCTACCGTTTCGTCTTTCTTCTTGTAGTTGTTTCCTTCACACAGCGATAGGATAAAGTTCACGAAGCGGTCACATAGGACCAGAAGAGCTTTGATGATTTTCTCCACCAGTCCGGTAGAGAAGAACTGTATGATCCGATCCACGATTTCATCGATCATACTGGCTGGACCCTCGAATTTTATTTACTATATATCTAGCGGCTAGGTTACTATAATCGAAAAGCTTGAACCAAAAAAATATTCCTACGGAGTTTTCCACTATCCTATCAGCTCGCAGCTCGGGAAATCTGTCAAATTATTTATTCAGAATGCATTCAGAGTGCTTCCAGGTCTTCCTAGTTTTGCTCCTTTCGTTCGTCCGTGTTTTGTGTGTTCGCTCTCAAACTCTCCCACTGCTCTCGCTTTTTTCCCGTGTTCGAATCCTTTCGCTCCCACTCTCTTGGTAGTGTGGAATTCTGCTGCTGCAAAAATTATTCCACTAGCATCGAGCAAAATTCGTCTGGCCCAGGGGAACTCTCGAATCCTGGCAGTTTTTCGCGCTGTGGGCCATTCGATCGTGGCTATCGCAATACGGCAAACACTGCTCCGCCTTTCGAACTTTCATCACCAACCGGATACGGTCGCGGACGGTGCCAGCAGATTGGCAAATTGGGAAATTTTCTTCGACACCACTCGAAAATGTAGTTCCGTACTGCAATAATCCTCCACACGTACTCGAGCACTCGCGATTACTACAACATCATCGTTCTCTCTCCCGATCCTGACTGAAAGTCCTTTCTTTACGGGGTGGTAGAATATCCTTTCGCTCGCGACTCTGTACGGCTGATGTCATCGAAGGTTTTCCTTTCGATGCGATATTCCTTTTCGAGTGATGTTTTTGACAGTTTTGCTTTGGTCGCGCTCGCGCCTCGTGAAAACTGTGCTACCGAAAGGGGGGTCCTGGTCGAACATCTCGAATTGCTGGTTGATCGCACAGAATATAATATCGTGATTTTTTTTTCTTCAGAATCCTATTTTAATTACTATTTTTTCCAGATGCGAAACTAAATTTCAGAAATTTGGTTACTAATTGGGTTGTTTGGGGGTGTTGAGGTAAATTCATACTCGTAATCTGCATTATAAATGGATCCGAAATCCAAAATTTCATCAATTTTGTTACACGGGAACTATTTTAAATAAGTGCGAGAAATTTGCAAAATCGCCATCTTAGCGCCTCTCGGTGGAAGTTTGTATGGGAGCGAGTCGTCAATTTGTTAGTTAGGTGGCAGAAAATAAAGTTCTTATTTTGCGTTAAATCTTGATTTAAAAATCGAGATGGAAGTCTATGGGATTGAACAAAATATAGTTGTGCTCTGAAAACAAAGCCCTTAAAGATGATGTATACACTGACAAAAGTTAAAAAAGATCATGTGTCAAATGAAATGTATAAATAGTCACACATACAGTTTATTCATTCTTATAGGATCTATGTGGTTTGCCCTATTCTAGTCAAAATTCTAGTACTACGCAATGTTTGTTTTGATTCGCTATGAAAGTTTGACAGATAAAATGAGGGGTTATTGGTTTTTCCTATGTTTCGAGGGGTGAATCTATTAGCTTGGGACCGAAGAGAGTACCAGCAACAATCAATACGAAACTAACGATTTTAAATTGGCTCACCACTTTAGTAGCCTATTGGTCCCAAGCAAACGATTAACGTACCCTATTCTAGTTGAAATTCTATTACTACACTATGTTTGTTTTGATTCGCTATGAAAGTTTGACAGATAACATCAGGGGTGTGTGGATTCATGCAGAACATGCAGGGGTGAGTGAAATAGCTTGGGACTGCTTGGGACCGTTGTTCTGGTACTGAGTGAGCCAAAAATAATAATGATTTTCTTCGGGACCCAGTGGTCTTAGAGTTACCTCTATGGTATAAGGCTGATGTTTAGGCAAAATGTAGAATATGTCAAACGCATGAATATTGCGCGCAAATCCCTACATTTTATTTCCCATTTGCTCATCTCTTCCTCTGAGGATTCCTAGCAATGATCTATGTAACGAATTAGCTTATTTTGTTTAGATATTAATTCAAATGTATAGCGGACAACCAGTAAAATTGACAAATAAAGCCGGAAAATTACAAATTTTCTAGTCATTATGTATAAACTAATCAAAAGGAAATTATTTAAACCACTCGAAAAGTTCTTCATAAGAGATCCCGTTTAAAGGATCGATAAAATTTGAGGAATCTATGAAATATGATTTTAGGTATCTTGACAAAACAGAGTTTTACTTAATTATCAAACCGTGTACAGAAGAGGCTGCACGTGTGTACGAACATATCGTTCGTTTTTATTTTCGGAGTTTTTTTTATGCTTATTTGGTTATTAATCCGGTTAACATTTTCGAAAATAGTCAAGAACGCGATTATCCTTTTCAAAAGGAACCTTCATTGGATCCAAGATATTCCATTGTTCGTTGTATTTGCGTCAAGAAATAGCGAGTTGCTGGACCTTGTAACGATAAGTTTAGAACCCTATAGATTGACTTTATAATTTGAATTAGTTTGCGCCTTTGATTAGCCTACAGACGGGATAAGCAACATTCTGCTTGACCCGTTTTTCTCATTTCCTTTACTGCTCGATTTGTTTCAATCTGATTATCACGGGAGTAGATATAGGGTTAAACACCCCATTTCCGGCCTATTAAGCACAACCCGCACTTAGTCTTTCTTAATCTAGCGCAGTTTAGCACCAAACGGAATGTTATTATTACTGATGGCTTCCAAATTTATTTACCTTTCCGTGTGTACCGTAAGATTTGATAAAGAGAAACCGATCGTTGAGATATTGTCAAAATTCTAACACTGCTTCTTGACGCCAAACTCGGCCTACGGATTCTAAGCTAGGCCTAACGCATTGAAACGCCATTGAAATGCCAATGAATTCACTTCGGCCTATCGGATGAAGATAAAACATGAGTCGGCCGGACCGCTTCTTTTGTTTTTGGGAATAATGGGTGCAAAACTTCATATCACGCGTTCTCATTGACTTCGTTCCGTTGCTTATTAACTAAAGTATCGTACCAAACGTATAATTGACTTGTTAACTCTGAAATCATGGATTTATTTGAAGTTTTCTGCTCGATAGGCCCAAAATGGGCGATTAGGCCGAAGTAGTTCTCTACCCTACTTCTTTATTAATAATCCACCATATTACCAACAATCAATACGAAACTAACGATTTTAAATTGGCTCACCACTTTAGTAGCCTATTGGTCCCAAGCAAACGATTAACGTACCCTATTCTAGTTGAAATTCTATTACTACACTATGTTTGTTTTGATTCGCTATGAAAGTTTGACAGATAACATCAGGGGTGTGTGGATTCATGCAGAACATGCAGGGGTGAGTGAAATAGCTTGGGACTGCTTGGGACCGTTGTTCTGGTACTGAGTGAGCCAAAAATAATAATGATTTTCTTCGGGACCCAGTAGTCTTAGAGTTACCTCTATGATATTACGACGCACAATATTTCAAAAGGCCAGCTCAAGGACATAACCAAATTTGTTCGTCTAATAAAAATCAGGGTTCATTGTGAACAAAGAACTATAGCTTGCCTCACTTTTAGTGGAATGTTCAATTCATCAAGACGTGTTTCGGAAAATTTAAAATAATAGAAGAAGTGAGTTCTAGTGATAATTTGTATAAAAGATTTGTGGCAAAGCAGTTTGAAATAAGTAAAATCTATTGAAGTTGTGAAAGTGTAAATATTCATTAGTTTAAATCTTATTTTGTAGATAGTTTATGATCACCTTTAGAACTCGAATTATGAGATCGCCATAAATACACAATAATTATGTAATGCCATGAAATTAGCACCTTTAATGTTCATTGTAACCTGTTGAATTTTATAGTACGCTAAAGTTAGTTTAGTAATACTGGCCGAAAGGGGCAAACTGTAAACTAAACCTTGTGTCTGGTTCGCCGTCGGTGTTGGGAAAAGTGGAACCTTCTTTAACCGACTCTTGTTGGACGAGTCGACACGAAAAGATCTTTCCGTGTACGGTGGGCAGCATACGTATCGAGAAGCCAGCACGTTAGTGGCTGAAACACGAACATTCCACGCTCGACCAGAGACAACTCTACTCCTGGAATTCGCCTACCACCCACTTCCCTCCCCCCCCCCCCCCCCCCCGGAAAATTCCTAGCTCGAATTAGTCAGCTAAGCAGAGTAAATTCGAAGCTAGTCGAGACACCCACCATCCATCCTCGCTAAAGCGTTACGCTGTTGAGCTTCGAACACGTTTAAGGTTCAAGCCTCGGAAAGCGGTACAACGGGAACATCGTTACATGCAGGTACTCGACGGACGCAATAAGAATGGTAACGTTACCACACAGGTTAGTGCACACCTGGTGTTAGGGGAAGAATTGTCCACCCTGAAAAAAATAATGAGCTCGAAGATAAATAGATCTAACACTTTTAAGCTAAAATTCTCTAGGACTTAATTCTTTATCGGTCGTATTAAATCTTTTCTTTACCATGAAAGGTATTGTTTTTACTTTCCACTAAGGGTAACTCAAGTAAGTCGGTTAACTTTTAAATTTACGTCGTGTTTGACTTGGTCCACGAATTGAATTTGAACTGGACTCTAGATTTCCGTACGTCGTAGAATTCGGTTTGGCAACAAAAATAACTCGCCTTGAGAATCAGAGTTTCAGATCGGGCATCCCTGAACCAAACATTCCTCAAACGGCCTCCAAAACGGAGTGGCGCTTAAGTCGTTTGTAGGCTAACATAGGTTAAACCAAATTTCAACGGCAGGGACTAAGACAATGTAACGCTGAAATCGGAGTTTTTGAGAAAAAGCAAGCGTTACAACCTGATACTTGGCTACCTTCACTCGGAACCAGCAATCGACTACAGCCGATTATCTTTTATCCCAAGCCGGAGGATCACTACAGTTGGACACTTCACACTGGTTCTACATAGGACGGGACTAATTTATGTTGTTTCCCATCAAGCAAACCGTCTTTGATTGGAACTATAATGCAACAATAGCACGGATGCTTTCTGTGGATTCATTTGGACTAACTTGGTGAGATTGGATCTGATTTTATTTTTTTAAACTAAATTTACACGATCCTCTAAAACGACACGATTAATACTTAATGTAGTTTTCATCCCATTTTTTTGTGTCTTTTAAATCATCATTGAATGCCAAATAGATTGTCTGCACATTTTTGAGCATTTGGTGGAACATTACTGTAAATCATATATCTTAAAACCACAACTAACAATTTTCGCAATGTAAACACGGAGAACAAATTCGTTAAGTTAAGATAACAATCCTAATAGCTACTTTCACATGGAAAAATATTGTTGTTTGAAAGAAACCTATAGTTATTCAAACATAAATTTGACCATCAACTCAATCATATCTACCTAATAGATTCAACTGTTCATCTTATACTCAATTCAACTATAACTTCGATCAACTACAACAACCGTCAAATGTAATTTAGTTATATAATTTGGTTTCAAGTGATCATCATAAATCCACAAACTTTTAACTTGTGATGCATAGAGCAGGCAATAAGACAGCTGGCTCTCACGCAGATGAACAAGGTTCAAATCTTAGTTGAATGTTCTTGTTCACCTTTTTTATGATTTTGCAGTTGTGTTTTTGAAATCCATAAAGAAGCAAAACAAACTTCCTTAATATGTCGATAATGAAGAGCAGTTTGTTTAATAAACATATTTACAATTTTGCTTACGCAACAAAAGTTTTCTTGAATCAACTAAAGCATAGTTGTATTTTGAAGTTTGACGTTTGTTCATCTACTGAAAAATATAGTTGAGCCAACC